AATGATAACACTACTGTTGTAAAGTTCTTAAAGGAAAATGTGTTATCTCGATTTGGAACGCCGCGTGCCATCATCAGTGATCAAGGCACCCATTTCTGCAACCGTTCTTTTGAGGCTCTGATGCGCAAGTACGGTGTGGTTCATAAAGTTTCAACTGCCTATCACCCACAGACAAATGGCCAAGCTGAGTTGGCCAATAGGGAGATTAAGCAAATTCTAGAAAAGACGGTTAATCCCGATCGCAAGGATTGGTCTCTGCGCCTTCCGGACACACTTTGGGCATACCGCACTGCTTACAAAACCCAACTTGGGATGTCTCCTTACAGGCTTATCTTTGGAAAAGCCTGTCATCTACCTGTAGAGCTTGAACATAAGGCTTATTGGGCTACCAAGGCCCTCAACTTTGATCTCAGCGCTGCAGGTGTCAATCGGAAGCTCCAGCTTTCCGAAATCGATGAGTTAAGGAACGATGCCTTTGATAATTCCAGGATCTACAATGCAAAAATGAAAGTGGCTCATGATAAGCAGATCCTAAGGAAGAACTTCGAACCGAATCAGCGAGTTCATCTCTATGATTCCCGTTTGCATCTCCACCCCGGTAAGTTGAGGTCGCGGTGGACTAGCCCGTTCGTAGTGAAACGCGTTTTTCCCAATGGTGCTGTCGAGGTTGAAAACCCGACCGATGGGAGAATATTTAAAGTAAATGGCCAGCGTCTGAAAAATTACTTAGAGCGGGTGAACTAGGTTGAAGAGATTATTCTGGACGACCCCGTTTACCAGCCCTGAGTAGTTTGCTCACATCTTCTGTACCATATTTTGATTTTTTTTGTTTTTCTTTGCATTTTTTTATGTGTGTTTTTGGAGAATCATATCAGGAAGCTCAGGCTGTGCTCATAAGTGGAAAGCTCATCGTCCAGGTGTCTTTTTTCTTTATTTTTCATAATTTTTGACACTAAGGACACTGTCTGATTTTGGTTGTTGGTGGTGAGCATATTCATGCGTAAGAGTGATTTTTGTCACGTTGATATTTGGGTTAAAATTTTTGCAAAGTTGTCTGAGTATGATTTCAAAATGTTTGGTTTAAGTCGATTTTCGCTGTCTTGGTTACTAAGAAATGACTTTCAGAGTTTCTTTTTGCATGTGCTAAACCTTGTGGTAAGATGGATGTTAATGCATGTCAGCTGAGAAAATTCTCAAGTTTAAGTGCTTGATTTTTGGTGAGTCAAAAGAGTAGAGAAAACGACTTTTGAACTTTCATTGATCTTTTGAGCTGGTAAAATCACTATTAGAACATCATTACATGGTTAGTGGTATGCTTGGTGCATATGCTTGAGGGATGGATTTCGGGTTAGATAGGAATGATTCTATGTAATAGAGCCTCATTTGTTATTTTTCAAAAAAATAAATAAATAAATAAATAAAATAGCAAAAGTAACATTTCACAGATGATGTAGTTTAGTCGTAATCACATTTGATGCTATATAGTTATTTGTCAAAAGAACACCTTTCTACATTCACCTCATTATTGTAGGTTGTCTCTTGCTAAAAAAAAAAAATAATAAATAATAAAAAAAAGAAAAAAAAAGGAGTAGTTTATTTTTCTATGCATTTTTGGCTCTTTGATCGTTTATGTAAATTTCTATTTGACCCGAATGAAATCCCAAAAGCTAGTTTGTGGTAAGAATTGTGGAATGTTCTAGTAGTTGATTAACCTATCTTTTGGTCAATGTTCGTTTGACTGTTTGTCCTAAATTTGACCTTCCTCACACTGAGCGTTGATTGTTTCATTTCCAACTCCATGAGAGAAAACCTTTGCACTCAAATATTTCTGACACCTATGAGATCAATGGAGTTGAGGTTTCTACTTGGTGAATTTTTCAAAGCTGCATGTGTTATGGTCAGTGGTAAGAAGGTTATGGTTTGGACCACACACACACGACTCTTTAACGACAAAGGACGTAGCTTTCACTAAGGAGCGAATCTTTATAAATTTTTGTGTCTTGATTAGTGCATGAAAATACACCCTAAATATTACTTTTGATTTACATAATACTAAAATATTTAAGTTTTAATTAAACAATTCCATTATTTTTATTCATAATATTTTTAATTGGAATTTGTCTAGTTTTTGTTTAATTATTTACAGATAAAAAGCAGTGTAAAAAGCCACACAAAGATAAGCCATGAAAGCCATATTTTCAACCATCCGGAGCCAAGCCTCTCAGCCGAGCCGCGCAAGCCATCAGAGAGAGAGCCGAGCCGATTGAGCTGAGTAGCTGAGCCGGCCAAGTCACATCAGTCCGCGTGGGTCCCAGCTTTTCCACGCTCCCCGACTCTCCTTCGCGCGCGTCTTCAGCATGCGGCTCATCAGAGTGTGCGTTCCTTCCACGCGTCTGTCAGCGCGCGTCCAAGGCCTTCCTCATGTGGGTCCCGCACGACAGAGTGCCAACCCAACTCTTTCTCCGCGCGCGCCAGCTGTCCTCCACTCTGACTCCGCGCCAGCACACTCCACCACTCCAAGCGCGACACGTGGCACGTTTCTTCATCACTTCCAATCACGTTGCGACACGTGTCCCATTTGGTGATGAATCCGAATTCCTTCTCCAAAAATCAGAGGAAATTACCAGATTTCTTCCCCAAATCAAATATGTGATTTCTCCTAATTTATGTGTAATTTTATTTTGTTTCCTTTTCTTTTGTAATTTTCTAGTTTTACAATTTATTTCCTTATTTGACAGACAACCTCTGAACACTATAAATAGAGGGGTTGGCCTAAGGTTTTAGAAGCTTTCAATATTCAGTTTTCTGTCGTCTTGCTGTTAGTCTTATATTTTCTCTCTAGAACTTGTGAGAATGTTTTGCAAGATAGGCTAGAGTTTTCTTGGTGAGGTTAGAGATGAACTTCTGTTGAGTTACCCAATTCGGGGTTTTGATTCCTTGTGCTGTAAAGTTCAACATCTGAATAAATTAAATCTCATATATTTTTCTATTACTTTTTAAAATATTGTGTGTCAATTTTTATATAAGTTCAGTCACGCTTTTCTTATGTAATTCTGTCATGCAATGTTTTGTTATTCAAATTATTTTACAAATTGTCTTTTACTGCAATATTGTCAAATTGATATATTGTCGATTTCAGATAACTTGTAATAATAATATTTTCTTAGCCAACATAGAGATTTAATTTTTTCGATTATTTTATTTTGTGAATCAAAACTTGAATTGGTGAACGAAGCATTAGGGATTCTCGACACCTTACCGTTTTCTTCATACAGATTTTCTCCTTTTTATTTTATTTGCAACAAAAACCTCAAAAACTCTCATTTTTCTTTAATTCACTTTTCTCTAATGCTCTTATTCTATTAATTATTCTTGTTATTTTGTTATCTATCTGTGGATACGACCGCCCTTATGTGCTACAATTGACCGCTTGTGAATATCACTTTTAGGCGTTAATCATGTCTCTTTACTGTTTTATTATTATTTTCTCATTTACAATGCTCTCACTTTCGCAGCGAACCAATCACTTTAATTGAAGACTCCTAACTCGGCCATTGACCCTTAATTTTATCAATTATAGACTAATATTATGATAAAAATTAGCTTTATTTTCATATACATTTCTTATTTCGGGTTAAATGATTAATTTTATTTTGTTTTTATTTCATTTATTTATTTATTATGTTTAACTTAGTCAAATTTAATTAGGTGAGCTGATGGGTGGGGTTAAATTTGAAATTTACCTACCTAAATAAGTTTTAAGTGGGTTGAAAAATCTCAAAGACTCACCCACCTTAAATCTGATGTTCACTTCTAGTTACGACGGCCGCCCCACTCACCCTAAGGTGACTCCACCACTGCACGAGAATGGACGTTAATCTCAACACATTTGTTAATGCACAACAACACAAGGAACAAATAAATACTCGACATGTAACCTATAGGCTCTAATAAATGACAATTCAATCCACCTATTTTGATTATCTTTTGTCAAATAAAAATTAATTCTTTTTTAAATGTGAACTCCTTTCAAAATAAAAAGAAGCATGCTCAACACTACACAAAGATTGAAATAATGTCCGCCATTTTTTTAAGGGCACGGAAGATTAGATATAAATAATGTGTTTCCTTAAAAAAGGGATACATGTTATAAATTGTGTTAAGAAATAAATGTGTTATTTCATAGGTCCTGCTATTTAGATTTATTACACTTCATTTTTATTTTTTATTCTTTTGCTAGTTAAATATTACACTTCATTTTTAATTGGAAACATTCGCTCTCACCTCAATTTGACATTTGTGATTTGTTCACATAAATTCAGGGATTATTATGCTCTTACTTGATTAGCTTATTCCGATTGCCAAACACAACGTTCTCCAAACGACGTCGTGACAATTCACCATACACCGTTTTTCAACCAATTTGCGGCTCCCGCCAGCTTAATTCTCCAAAAGGAAAAAAATGGAAATAATTAAGAGGAAATTAAAGCAAATCTGCCACGTTGGCGATCCGCGCCTTACCCAACCAGCCAATTACCGTCATCTCTTCCCCCTTATATAAACAACCAAACCCGGGCCTTCGTATTTCCATTCAAAATCTCAAACGCCATTCTCGTCCCACCAAAACTCAAATTCCAAATCCCAAAGTGCAGAAAACCCCCCAGAAACCTACAAGCCGGCGCCATGGAATCCCCCGATGCGGCCACCAAGACCAAGGGAGGCAGAGGCAAGCCCAAGGCATCCAAGTCCGTGTCCAGGTCTCAAAAGGCCGGCCTCCAATTCCCCGTCGGCCGCGTCGCTCGATTCCTCAAGACCGGCCGCTACGCCCAGCGCGTCGGCTCTGGATCTCCGGTCTACCTCTCTGCCGTCCTAGAATACCTAGCCGCCGAGGTTGGCTTAGTTCGCTTTCGTTTGCTCGATCGTCTTTTCCTCTAATTTCACGTTTTGATATTGATCGATTGCTGACCTTTTCTTGTTTCGATTAGGTTTTGGAATTGGCTGGAAACGCTGCGAGAGACAACAAGAAGATGAGAATAATTCCAAGGCACATCCAGCTTGCGGTGAGGAACGACGAGGAGTTGAGCAAGCTTATGGGATCTGTTACGATCGCGAACGGAGGCGTTCTGCCGAACATTCACCCGACTTTGCTGCCGAAGAAGTCCGGGAAAGGGAAGGGCGAGATTGGATCTGTTTCTCAGGAGTTCTAGATGTTTATTTAGATCTTTTTAACTTTTTGGATGAATTGTTGCTGACTAGCGTTGGTGTAGTTACTGTAATGAAAGTAGGCTTTTGGTCTGTAAAGCACTTCTACGGATAGCTTCTCTTGGTTTTCTAATCGTATATGTCGCCCTTTTGACACTTATCAATGGAACAAATTGTATGAAAGTTTTGTAAACAATTTGTTCTTTCTCTCTTTATTTATTTATTTTTTTAGACTCTGGATTTGCTGCTCAAATTCGAAGCACAACCGGGAAATAGATTTTTAGGGGTGAGGAAACTTGGAAGAACAAAGAGAGAAAGATTGTCTTTAATAAGTTTGGTAGATCAATTTCTGGTTGTTTGTTAGTCACAAAATCAAGTGAGGTTTTGATTTTGGGATGATTAAGTGGGAACATGTACATGATGTTGATATAATATTGTTAGGATGCAAAAGTCCACCCTCCTCTTCTTCGCAGCAAAGCTTCATCCTCCATCAAACCGGTAGAAGAAGAACGCGGCACTGTAGAGCCCCCATCGATCATAGACCTGATGGCCGTCGCCTCCCCATCGATTTGCAGTGAGATTTGCTGATCTACTTGTAGTGGGGTTATTCTTGTGGAAAACAAAAATCTGAAAATTTGATTATCAACTTTAAGCTAGATGTTTGGTTCCCAAGAAATTTGAAAGAAAATGAGGAGTTACATGGTTATTTTACTAATTTAAATTTTATTATTGTAAAAAATTCTTATAAATACACATTTAATTTTTTTATTACAGTAAAAAATTTTAATATAAAGTTATATTTTAACTTGAATCAGTGAATTAAATAAGCTTACAAAAAAAAAATTTTGGATGATGTCATTTTAGTGTTTTTAGCTTAAAAAATATCAAATGATGAGTTGCAAACTATTTACCATTAGGAATTTAACAAATATAGATAGAAACATCTTAATTGTACATATTTAAGAAGATTACGGGGTCTTTTGTTAAAAAAAGGACTAAGGGTTTGTTTGTTTTCATTTTTGTTTTTTATGTTTTTTGAGAAGGAAAAATGAAAACAGGAAATGAAAATGTGTTTGGGAAGAATTCATACTAAAGTAAAAAACAAAAATGTTTTTGGATTTTTCCCAAAAACTCATTTTTTCTAAAAATGGATAAAAATTGATTTCATTTTTCTTTTCATTTTCTCCCTTCGTTATAAATAGAAAAAAAGGAGAAAATATTATAATGCATAATTGTTAATTTTTTTAATTTACTAAATAAGTAGATATTAATATATAAATCCTTAACACGCAATAAGAAAAAATTGAGAGTTAGCTCAAACATATAATGGGTGGGTTTGGTATTGATTTTGGAAGAGAAAAAGCACTTATTGAGATAGCTAAAATCTAAAAACTTGTTTGGTCAAACAAATTTTTGAATAATTTCTTCTCAATCTGAAGTTAAAAGCAGAATTAACCTAAAAGTTGATTCTAATTTCAGCTTATGCGGGAATCAGTTTTGAGGGTTTAATGAATTTTTTTCCCAATTTTACCCCTAATGAAATCTGAAATTTACAACCTCAGAAACACATTTTCATTTCACAATTCGGTATCTCCTCTTCTCTGTTATCTCTCTCGTCTCCTCTACAAAAAAATTTTGAGTTTTGTCCTCTCTCTTCTCTGTTTGAAGCGATCTCCTCGGCTCCGCTCGCCGGTCTCTCTCTCCGTTGGCCTGTCGGAGCTCGTTTGGTTTCTCCTTCGTGTGATTGTCGATTTGCCGGTCTCCTTACTCCTCCTCCGACTGCCCATCTCTCGTCATCAGATCAAGAGGTAAGCCTCTCTAACCGCGCGATTTTGGGTTTGGTTCTGATTTTGAACATTTGGATTTAGTTTTGATTTTTAGTCCGCATATATTTTAGGTTTTAGGGTTCTGATTTTTTGCGTCAAAGAGAAACACTTAAGCATTGTTGAAAGTGGGTTTGCCGGTATCCCATCTCCTTCTCCGACTGCCCATCATCAGATCAAGAGGTAAGCCTCTGTAAGTGCTCGATTTTTAGTGCAGCTTTAAATTGAGTTCTGATTTTTTGTGCGGAAATGGGTTTAGGGTTCTGATTTTCTGAGTTTGGTTCTTCCCTCGGTTTGGACTCATGGCCTTGTAGAGGATCGGGACCTTGTTCCTTTGATCTTTGTTTCCTCCTCGAGTAAATGAAGACTGGACTCTTAGTATTTGTTTTGTCTCTATTCTCTGTGCTGCTGCAATTCCGGTTTTCATTATTTCTACCCTCATTTTCAGGTTGTAAATCCAAGTTTATTGTAGCATTAGTATTAGGGATATTTGGGTCAAGATGATTTGAATTTGTTGATTCTATTTTAAACACATCATTAGTTTCAAACACATTTGTATCTTCCCTTGTGTTCTTTGTTGTCATTTTTCGTTGTGTAATATTTTCTCCTTGATGTCTTTAATTTTCTCCAAGTTGTGTTTCCGGATGCCTTCCATGAATAAGAATTAAGAGAAAGTGATCATTAGGCACAATTCTTGTAAATCAAATTAGCATTCTATTCTTGATAAAACAATGATCTTGATGTTTCAATCAAATACATTAGTTATTATGCCAATTTTTAGGTGAAGTATCTAGGACTAGAAGCTAGGATTAGCTTGCTTGCTATTGATTGAGTGTTCGAATTGGAAATAAGGTTAGTATTACCCTTATTATTATTATTGTAAATTGAAGCATGAAGCCTTACATTGTTTTAGACTTTCAGTTATCAATTCTCAAATGGAGGGTAGTATACCACAAGGTAAAGCAATATGAGACCCCGAGATTGTGGATCTATTTTGTGATTTGTGTATTATAGAGGCGGAAGTGGACGCCGTCCTGGAACCCATTTGGATAAAGTTGGATGGGAAAATTTAATTCGTAAATTTAATGAAGCAACCAAACGAGTATATAAAAGACAACAATTGAAGAATAAATGGGATACTTTGAAGAATGATTGGAAGCTTTGGAAGGAACTTATTGGTAAAGAAACTGGTCTAGGTTGGAACATTAAGAAGAATACTGTCGATGCATCTGAGGAGTGGTGGCATAATAAATTGCAGGTACACAGAATTATGTGGTTTGTCATTGTTTATTCTGGTGTTGGACTAGGCAGGTTTAATTTATTCAAGTGCTCTTGCAGATTCATCCCAACGCATCGAGGTTTCACACTCGGAGAATTGAACCACAGTTAGAAGAAAAGTTAAATATGATGTTCATGAATATTGTGGCCACATGAGTGCATTCTTGGACACCATCATCTGGACATGAGCCATGTGAGTCTGGTAAAGCTAGAAATGATAATTCTACTCTACCTGAACAACTTGAGAGTAGTGGTGAGTCAGGTGAACCAATTTGAAGTGAATTGGCACAAGACCGTAAGAATAAAAGGCCAATGAGACAGATGAGAGACAAAAGAAAGTCAAGAAAGGAAAAGGAAACGTGAAGGTAGAATGAGCTGCTAAATTGTCTCTCAACAAATTGATCGCCTTGTCGATATAGTTGAGAGTAGAAGTACTGGATCATCCATTGCGCAATCTGACGCTGGAAACTATAGCATAACAAAAGTTATTAAAGTTTTAGATTCATTACCAGGATTACAGACTGGGAGCGAGTTCTATTTCTTTTCAGTCAACTTGTTGTTAGACAATAATAAGAGAGAGGCATTTATGGCTTTTAAGGAACCTGAGTTGAGGCTCAATTGGCTTAAGTTTGAACATGGGCTAGGATCCTCCACTTAGATTTCCATTCCTCATTTCTATTTAGTGCAGTTTTCTTATTGTATTGATGGTTGAGACATTGTTATTCTCTTTCAGTGTGGTTTTCTTGCTTTATGTTTAAGACATTGTTGTACAATGACATTTCGTATTACTACTATATGTGAGTCTGATTATTTTTATTGCACCATATTGAATGACAGGTTTATTGTTGTTGCCAAAAATGGCTGACAATCTTGATGAGTATGATCTACAACTTGTATGTATCATTGTTCGACTCATTGAATATTACTACAACACGTATGTTCATAAGAATCCGTGTATGAACTTTTCACAAACTGGAAACATGTGGGTGACATAATTATTAAGAGGGCATGAAATTAGAAGTTACATGATGTTTAGAATGGATAAGAACGTGTTTTTGAAGCTATGTAATAATCTACAGAGTAACTACGGGTTACAGGGATCAAGGAATATGTGTGCGGGTGAAATACTTGGAATGTTTTTATTCATTTTGGGTCAGGGTGCGGGGAATCGTTCAGCACAAAAGCGATTTCAACACTCTGGTGAGACTGTGAGTAGATATTTTAATTATGTTTTAGAAATTGTATGTCATATAAGCATCGATATTATACAGCCTCCAGACGTAGATTTTAATGACGTGCCAATAGAGATAATGACGGATCATAGATATATGCCACATTTTAAGGTAAAATCATACTTTTTATATGCTTCATTCCCTACTAAAATTATGTTTATTTATACATTAAAAATTCTTCTTTTTAGAATTGTATTGGTGCAATAGACGGCGTACATGTTCCAGCTACAATACCACCAGAAGATCAGGTGCCATTTATTGGAAGGAAGCGCATGCCAACCCAAAATGTGATGGTTGCTTGTGATTTCAGTATGAAATTTGTATATGCATATGCAGGTTAGGAACGTAGTGCCCATGACACAAGAATATTCTTATCAGCACTACGTAACCGACATTTGAAATTTCTAAAACCACCTGAAGGTTAAAACATTGTCTATATTTTATATTATATTGTTTTACATTTTACTAATTCTTGTATTTTTATTTTAATAGGTAAATATTATTTGGTTGACGCGGGCTATCCGCAATTGAAAGGATTTCTTAGACCTTATAAAGGAGAACGATACCATTTACCACAATTTTGAATGGGTCATCGACCAATAGGCAGTAAAGAGGTATTGAACCAAGCACATTCTTTTCTTCGAAGTGTCATTGAACGCACTTTTGGTGTTTGGAAGAAAAAATGGAAAATTTTAAGAGACATGTCTAATTATTCATTTAAGAAGCAAGTAAACATAGTTATTGCAACAATGGCGCTTCATAACTATATTAGGATGCATGACAAGCGTGATCAATATTTTCAAGAAGTCGAGGATAATCTAGATGTTTTCGCTTATGAAGAGCACCAACTGGAGGACACTGTAGAAGGAGATGAAGCTTCACTATCACAAGAAATGGTTGATGTACGAGATCAAATTGCGATAAGTTTAATGAACACGACTTAACTATTTTAATGACTCTATCACTTTTTGAACATGGAATGTACTTTTTTGTTCAACAAATTGATTACTCATTAATGCTCTTTTTATTTGTAACTATATTGTGAATGAAGAAATGAAAAAAAAAGAATTAATTATCATAAATTTATTGTTAAAAAACTCAAAATCATAGCATTATGTTTTTTAAGTTAAATAAATATTTCTAAATACCAAAAAATAATTATATATATTTAAGTTTCATACCATGTCTATTTTGGTCATTTTACATACCTACAGCAATTCAACATCAAAATTTACCAAACACTATTACATTGATTTTAGAACCAGCACAACTACTATAATTACAGTTTACCAAGCACTCAGCTACTTCTT